GTTTTAAATTTTCAAATTTAATAGTTTAGATATTTATTCAACACTTGAGTATTCTATAGTTGCTTTTCAGTAATACGGTTGGATATTATAAACATACCCCTGAAGTTATAATACTCCATCTAACACAAAACTTCCAGGAATGTTTTATTAGCAAAAAGTGTAGTCTGTCTGTATATTTTTTCCCAGGTTCAAAAGTTTGAAAGTTGTAGTTCAAAAAAGTAAAATTTTTTCTATTATGTTAAAGTTTTCAGAGTATAACCCTTAAAGGAATGATGTATTATTTTTATTTCATATATGCAATTATCAAGTATTAAGTATTTAAGCTAGTAGCTAAGGGCAAAATGTGAGTGATATATGTAATTTAAATTGAATTGAGTGTAATTGTACCAAAATGTAAATAGTGTCTTTACAAGGGTAGCTTCTCAGAATGTTTCCTGAATTATGTAAATAAATTGTTCTCATTTATAAAACAAATCACCATTTGCTGCTTTTAAAAAAAGAACGTAGAAATATGTAATAATTATTTTCATAATAGTTATCAAAACATTCCACAAATTCTCATTTTTTTCTTAATGTTAACATGAGAGGAAAATGAGTATTCAGTACCAGTAGTAGAGAGTTAAAAGTGGTCAGGTTTCCCCCAAAATTCTGATTTGTAGAAAATATAAGTTGAAGATTCTGTGCATGAGGTTAAGGTGTTGTCTGATCCCACTAAGCAAATGTCTTTTTCATTTCAAAGACTGTGTTGAGGGACAGTACTTAGTGGATTATAGAATGTTAAAATTGGATAAAGTTTAGTAGGACTTCTTAAATTGTCTTTTTAAATGCATATTAATACTGTGGTCATAAAAGAGAAGAAACAAATGGAAGGGATAAACTTTGTTCTCAAATTATAAAACTGAAGAATTTTTGTATCATGGTGTATTTTGTTGTTTAAACTTCTTGATGTTTGCTGTAAAAACATCAAGTGCTTAGTTGGGTATGGTCATTTTTTCTCAATCGGATGGGTCAGATTTCTCTTTTTAAGAAGTTAATTATGTGGCACTTTTTAAACTTACAAAATTCTTATGTTACAGGGGAAAAAAGTTGTTCCATGTAGGCATGACTGGCATCAGACCGGGGGTGAAGTCACCATTTCAGTATATGCTAAAAATTCACTTCCAGAACTTAGTCGAGTAGAAGCAAATAGTACATTGGTAAGTACACTAAATAACTTGGAGTAAAAATTCTCTTCTACACGTTGTCCTTTATGTTAATGTATTATGTAATAAAATATTGTTCAGACTTCAGCTGATTTTAAGATCTTATGGTCTCTTCCATATGAAAAAATTAAATTCATGAAATTCTATTTTAAATGAAAATCTCTGCATAATAGTTTCTTGTGAAGCATTCTGGAGACATAGTAGCTTAGAAGATTTGTCAAGTAATATAGTGTGTAAGATCTGAGAGCTACAGTTAAAAAAATTGAAAATAATATGGTACTTAGTTCTCACTATGAAACTTCAAGTCAGTTTTTCTTGTGTGCTAATGGTCTTCTCATAAAAAAATAAATTAGCAGTTTCTTAAAATAGCTTAATTGATTGTATCAATGTCTTATTTTTACAATCAGCAAATATAAACCTTTAATTTGAATTTGATCAATTAACTTTCTGTATATTTTTCAGTTAAATGTGCACATTGTATTTGAAAGAGAGAAGGAATTTCATCAAAATGTGAAATTATGGGGTGTAAGTATTATCAATCTATAAGAATTTTTTCTAATAATTTAAAATACCATTTGTAGAATAAAAGGCAGTAAGCATTAATGATGCAAAGTACACGAATAACTTAACAATTATATCTTCCCCAAAAGTTTGTCTAAGTATAAAAATGGCCTTAGAATCTTGGTTTGGGGGTTATTAGCATAAACAAGACTTTTGTTTTCCTCTGAAACTAATAAAAGCACCCAGGTTTATTGTAATTCTTTTTGATGTGTTTCAGGTAATTGATGTAAAGCGAAGTTATGTAACTATGACTGCAACAAAGATTGAGATCACCATGAGAAAAGCTGAACCTATGCAATGGGCAAGCCTTGAACTGCCTGCAACCAAAAAGCAGGAAAAACAAAAAGATATAGCAGATTGAGTGAGAGGGGGGAATGCTATTACCTATTTCAAAATTCTTAATGTATGATGAAATGGTGGCTTGCTGCTGTAATCTTGTTTTGTTCTTGTGTTGTTGCTAAATCTGGCATTTCAGGGTCAAGATCAGGTTTTTAAAAACCAAAGTCAGTTTATTTTTTTGTGCCTCCCGTCTTCCTTTTTACTTACATAAGATTGATTATTCATGTCTCCTCACTGATAGAACCGTAGTTTGTCTTGTACTTGAGGAAGCTGGAAAATAGCTCATAAACATAATTGCAGTATTTCTTAGTATAATACTGTGTTAAGCAGAGAAATATTAAGGACCATTTTTTTCAAATCTCTGTTAGCCCATAATTAGTAAAAGCAAGGTGACATGTCAAATTTTTAATCAGTTTTTTCATGGATTTGTGTTCCTATAATACTTGAAAACACCTAAGGAAGAGATGAAGCTCTGCATTGTTTTTTTCCATGTGGCATGATTACTTTTTTTTAGGAGAATTAATTCTGTGGTAGTATATAGTAAGTAGTTAAAGGGGGATATATGCATTGGTTAACAATTGAGAATTTGTTTACAACTAATTTAATTTAAAAATTACATCAAAACTTGAATTACTTGCCAAGCATTATGATTTAAGAGTATAGGAAATATAAATACAAGTACTGGGGCATCAATTTGGTTAAAATTCACCATTTTATAAGACTAAGCAATAATGTTAAAAATCTTTTCTGATTATTTAAGTGTCTGTGTATGGTGTATGACTAAATTGTACCTGATTTACAGATTAAACCCTCTAAAAACTTTTAGATCCATATAAAAAGAAATTATATATATCTCAGCTCCCTGATGGAAAGCTGTATCTGTAAAATTATAGACTTAAAGGTTTGTGGAAATACATTAAGGGATGAGAAAACTAAATATACAAACTTACTTTACGACAGCTGTCTACTATATGTTAAATAAAACAGCTTAATTCTTTTGGAATTTTTTTTTTCTTTAAGGTTTTCATGAAGAGCTTCACAATTATAGTGATACAACGTTGATTATATATTGTATTTTATTTATTAAATATAGGTAACATGGAATTAGATTGTTTATGCTAATTGGACTGATTAAAGGATAAGTTACTTTTTGAGACAGTGCAGAAATCAAAAAAATTAAGAAATGTTATCAAGGCCAGACTCTGACAGAACTTAATAAATTTGGGAATTAATTAGGCTTATATAAATTAAAAATGAAAAGGGTGGTTTATTTCTCAAACCCGTTGAGTGTTTTCCTTTTCTTGGTATTAATGGAATTCTCGTAAAGAAAAATTTGCAGACGTGCTAGTTAATAAAGTGTATATATCCTTCTACTACCCTTAGCAAATGACAATTAGATGTAGTTATATAATTATTAAAAAAATTAAGCTCTGTTACAAATAAAGACAAAATCTGGCAACCCGACTTTCATGACATTAAAATGCTATTACAAATTTTTCGCAGTAAAAATTGTACCCAGATAGAATGCATAAATGTCTAGTACTTTGAGATGTATTTTTAAAAGTTCGTTTATGATTTAGGAACCTGGGTTCATTTTAGAGACATAAAGTCTTGTTTATTTGGCGGGGGCAGGGGGGAAGGTTGATATTTCGATCAAAGGTAATGATATACCTTTTTTAATGCTTCCTTCTTGAGGCTGTTTTCCCTCAAACAATATCTTAATCTGTTATATGTAATTGAACTATTATTTAAAGCAAGTGGATTATTGTAACCTCAGATTCAGTTACAAAACACTGATTTCTTTTCTTATATACAGCTTGTGTATTTAGTTTGGTTACGTTAGTAACCATCTTATTTTGTTTTTTATTCCTAAGAGTCTTTGAATTTGTTGTCCAGATAAAAATCTGAATGATATTTATCTTAGACTTATCCATAAAGGGGGACAGTTATAGTTAGGTAAAATATGTTTTACTATCAATTTGTCAAAAAGTTAATAAAAATATTTAATTTTATTGAATCCTTTCTCTCGAAATATGCTTTGTCTTTCTTAACATTCGGAGAACTTACTGTAGTGAAGCAGTCAAAGCTAGGTGTATTATACACTTAGTAACCAGGTGTATCATGAACTTGGTAACTAAACTCAACATGAGAAACTTAAAATGCTATTTTTTTGCCTACCACATTTACTTGTATAAAGGAAGTCATGTCCTAAGAAGTTGAGCTTTCTTTTTAACCTCTTATTTTGAGATAAATTTTAGGTTTACAGAAGAGTTGTACAAACAGTATTACAAGAGTTCTTATATCCTATATTAATCTTTTCCTTATGTTAAAATCTTATATTACCATAAAATGTTTACCAAACTAAGAAATTAACGTTGGTACAATACTGTTAAATGAAGTAGAACATTTAGTTTTTAACTGTCTGTTTTCAGTGGAACTCTTGAGGTCTAGGTCTTGAGACCACCCCTACTTTTTTTGGTAATAATTTAAGCTAGTAATTTATTAACAATTAAAAATATGAATTGGAATCAACAGATGTTTACAGGTTGATGATGTATAACTTTTTGGTGTAACCATATACTGGCAAAGGACTATAATTATTTTACTTTATTATAATTTATATTATGCCAGGGATTTTAATTCTTGTTAACTTTTTTGATTTTCTTTAGAAAATTCTTGAACCATCAAAGAGTAAAGAAAATCTTAATTCTTTCAGATATTCTAAGGGGACTTTGAGTTATTGTCTCCCAACCCCTTGCTTTTTTAAAAAACCAGTCATTCCTTAGCTTAAAAATTCATGTCATGCATACACCTACAATAAGTAAACTTTTAAAAACTAATTTATGAGGGCTGGTGTCTGTTTTAGGTCATTTGGGTGTGTACTCTTTTTTTTTTTTTTTAACAGATAATTTTAAGTTACCTGTTTGAACATCAACAGGTTATTTTTTATTGATGTTGTTTTATTGCAAATTATTTAGACCTGGCATTCATATTTGTTATTTGCTTTGTTCTCTTTTACCAATACCATAATTTCATGTCCTTGGTTCTAAAATGCAAGCTGAGTCCAGCTTTTTTTTAGGTTTTGTTGATAAGGTTTTTGTTTTATTTCTTTTAATTGTTTTATAAGTGGGAGGTTGTTTTTGTTTTTGATTGTTTTATACTTTACTGCTTCCCTACTGCCCAGGTATCTAACAACTTTATCTGGTAGTGTTGCATGGCTTGTCTTTGTTAATTGTAGGTGCCCGTGGTTTTATACATGTAGCATTATCTCTAAATACCAAACTCACAAATTTTTTCTTCTGCATAGTTATTGATTCTAAGTTTTTATAAAATGCTTAGTTCTGAAAAATTCCTTTAAGAATAGTCTTTCTAAAGACTTTTCATTAAGTGCTCATTAATGTGACTTTTCTTAGTTTTCTAGTTTAAGAGGCCATCTTTAATGTCCATTGAAATAAAATAAAACTTCCAGTCGTAAACATTTTTATGTTGCTTGTCAAAATTATTTATTTATTTATTTTTTCATTTTTAGAGACAGGTTCTTCCTCTGTGGTCCAGGCTAGAGTGCAGTGGTGTGATCATCATTGCTCAGTGCAACTTCAAACTCCTGGGCTCAAGCAACCCTCCTGCCTCACCTTCCCAAGTAGTTGGGACTATAGGCGTACACCGTGACACCCAGCTAATTTTTCTATTTTTTGTAGAAAGGGAGTCTTGCTATTTTGTTGGTCTCAAACTCCTGGCCTCAAGTGATTCTTCCACCTGGGCCTTCCAAAGTGCTAGGATTACAGATGTAAGCCACCACACCCAGCAGTGTGTCAAAATAATTTAATTTGCCATTCATTTTTGACTAAGCAGAGATGCTGTTCAAATAATTTGATCGTTGGATTATCCTTTTTTAAAACTTTGCTATTAAAGTGAGATTAGAGACTAAATCTGGAAATCGGAAATCTCTCTGAACTTGAGGTACTTTCCTCTCCTCCAAAAAAGTGATTAGATGGACATACTAATGTTTTAAAACAGTGTGATCCTTCATAATGTTTATTTTAGTTTGTAGTTTCATATTTATTCATATTTTATTGTATTATGAACTTGTTAGTGTCTGTGTCCCCTTATAAACCACATGTATATTTGACTTTATATTTTGGCTGACCATTGTATCCCCATTTTCTGGTACTTGGCATATGGGTTGGCTCTTACAAATGTCAGACGTAGCATTTATTAGCTGGTTACTGTTATAAGAACTTTAATGAAAATTAACGTAATCCTCATGACAACTCTATGAGGTGGGGTCTATTATTATTTTATGGTAGAGTAAACTAATTCATGACACTGTTAAAATATTAATAATTTACCCGGAGTTGAAACTAGTGAGTTGTAAACTAACTTTGAGGATGCAAATTGATAGAATGCTGAGCTTTATGGGCATCTTCCTTTCATTCAGAAAAGAATTATAATCCCAGCTTTTGAGTATGATGTAAGTATGAGTACACAGGTCTGGGAATAAGTAAATCCAGTAAAACAGTTTAGTTAGGCATGATATGTTCTTAAGGTACAAGAAAATGCATGTGTTTTAAATGTTTGATACTTTAGGCTGGTTAGAATTAATGGGTTCATTATAATTTTATGTAAAAATTCCTTATAACAGATTGGGCCCAGACTGCCTACTTTATTTTAGAAGCCAATTTGAGCTGTTACTGATGTCTTAGAGATTCCTTCAAGTCCCCCGTCCTCTCTCCCAACAATAAAGCTACTTAAATTTATCAGCTGGAAAAGACTAAGTAGGGGGCAGAAGAGGGAAACAAATTTAAGGGAGCAGGAAGCCAACAGCAAGATAATTTAAAACCTTCAGGAAAAGTAGGTGTCTAATCACAAGTCTTAATTCACTTGATTAGATTAGAGTGCACTTCAAAAATTCTATTTGTGATTTAGCTGTAGGAATTTAGAAATTATTAGTTACAAGAAGTAACTTGATGCTGTAAATATATTGATAGCTTTTTTTTTTTTGCACAATTAGAATATGGCAAACACTTAGTAAGTGCTTTATAATGACTTTTCATTTACTCTGCAGAACATCCCCATGATTACATAAAGTACCAGTATATTACTACTCTTCTTACAGGAGAAATGGAGGCAAAGGAAAGCTGCATGACTTGCCTCAAATCATATAATAAATGATGAAATTTGATTTTAAAATGTGAGACTGACTCCAAAGTCCTTAAACTCTTAACCATGACACTGAAGACATCTAAGTCACAATGCAAGACCCAAAATTGAAACTGCCATTGCTTAGTGTTTTTCTTAGTACCGAATGATTAAATTACAATAAAAGATACTGTGCTTTGAATTTTTGCAGCAGTCAGTTGAGCCATTGATTTTCTTAAGAACCTTTAAAGGGTAGTTGACAAGAATTAGAGATGGATTCTGCAGTGCAGCTGTAGGACTGATTCAAAGTAAAATGCCATGGTGATGAATTTGTCACTCGCTGGCAGTTTGTTCTAAAGGCTTGTGCATATAAGCCTGATGGCCTTATTATCATCTAGGCTCTGAACATTATTCTGCATCTGTGTTCTTAGACGTGGATGATTAGAGGACCATGTACATGGGCAAGTAAGTCACTGTAATGGGTTGAGTGAAATGATTTAAAATTAAGTATTGGTGTGTTAGGCAAACAGATTGTCTCATTTTAGTCATGTAAAATTAGCTAGGTTCTCAATTGTGGAAAGGGAAAGTGTCCCATCACATTACAAGGGAAAGACAATTTCTTAAAAGTTCAGCATTTTTAGTGATTAAGCATCTTTAATATTATAGCCATCCCTTAATTATTTTGTGTGATTCAAAAAACACTTTTGGTCACTTTTGTATATGCTAGGGATAATTAGCCAAACACGGAGTGTCTGCTTCCAAGGAAGTTTCCAACAAGGAAAATAGGTCATTCAATACAAATTATGCTAAAATTTTAAGCCTGTAAAAACATGGTTTGGAACATACTTGGTAGACCTTACAGATTGCTTAAATGAAGGGTAGCAAAGTCCTGGAAAACAGGGAGTTAGCCACACAAATAGAAGAGAGGGGAAGGTTTTCAAGGAAAAAGACCAGGATGCGAAAAAGGCTGGAGTTGAGAGATGGCATTGGCCTGTTAGAAAACTACTCAGCCCCCAAACTTTCTTCCCTATCCCCTCAGTATTGGGGTTGGAGCTACTCTAGATTCCAGTACATCAAGGTAATTAATGCAGCCATCAAAAGCTCTGCTGATTTTCCCCCAGTAAAGTATCTTAATTCATGCCAAGCCTGATATTTAGCCTATCCTCAGAATTGGCAAATGCCCCCAGGAAAGAAAACAATGGGTAGTCTCTGCTGTCTAGGAAGGACCCCAGAGACTTTTACTACATCTAGTCTTCAGTGCTTCCACAGCTCTTTTAATGTATCAAGTATTTTGCATTTGATCCATTTTTTTTCCTAGATACTGTAACTGGTCTGTCTACCAGGACTACTACATTTCTGGGAGTGAAAGCGCCTATTGAAGGGTTTTTAAATAGCATTTAGCATGATCACATTTAGGAAGATCATTTTGGCTGTAGATAGTATAATTGTAACACAGGGGGAAAGGAAGTGAGGCAATATGAAAGGAACTTTTGCATCATTTAAGTGAAAGATAAAATACTGCTCCTCTGAATTTAGAGTAATCACATTGGGAAGTGGGAGAAGTGCATGAATACAAGTTACTGAAAGGACAAAAAAAGCAAATGGTGTCGCGGCCCGGATTGCAGAACGGGGGATGGACACAGAAAGAAACACACAGACACACACAAGACGTACAAGACTGAAGTAAATAATTCTACCAGTCGCTTTATTATATAGTTTTTCTATGTCCGGCAGCTACTTCCTGGCACGTGACTACCTTGGGCGTCTTGAGGAAACACATTTTCATTCCTTCCAGACGATTGCTTAAGGGAAGCAGACGTTTGCATCTTAACTTCTTGTATCTTAACTTCTTTATCTCATTACCCTATGCAGGACAATGAGATGCCTTGGCTTGTTTGCAAGACCCCAGGCGCTTGGTTATCTATCATAAAGCTATCTGTCATGAGGAATAGTTCTGTTTGTCCAACAGGCCGTGTGCGGACCTGTTGGCCTCTGGCGCCAAGGAGAGCACGCCCAGTTTCGCTGACTCTGGGCTTAAGCCAATTTTGCCCAGGGACGGCCCCTACAAATGGCTTCATAAAATTGAGAAGCAATGATAAGAAAAAGGCTAAAATTTGTTTTAGTATTATAATTATTTCAAAGGTTACTATTTTACTCTAACCTCATTTCTATACTTGAAAGCTCAAGGATCAATTAGTTGATATTTTTGAAATTCTGAACTAAATAGGAGAAATGTTAACATGGCCAATGTATGCATATGTAAATGAATTATTTATATCCTCAGAAAAAACTAGTAAATTACAAAAATACAAATAGGATTATTATTTGTGAACTGTATTGCATCCCAGAACTCTGTACACTTTTTTCTGTTTAAAATGAAAACAGTTATTATAACTATACTATTTTACCCTTTACAAAAGGAATATGTTCTGATATAAAAAATTCAAGCAGTTGAGAAAAAATAGAGTACAATGAAGTCCACCATCCCAATGTAAGCACTGTTGACTTTTTAAATTATTTATTTATTTTATTTATTTATTTATTTTTTTTGAGACAAAGTCTTACTCTTTTTGCCCGGGCTAGAGTGCCGTGGTGTCAGCCTAGCTCACAGCAACCTCAAACTCCTGGGCTCAAACGATCCTTCTGCCTCAGCCTCCCAAGTAGCTGGGACTACAGGCATGCGCTACCATGCCCGGCTAATTTATATATATATATATTTTTAGTTGTCCAGATCATTTCTTTCTATTTTTTAGTAGAGACGGGGTCTCGCTCTTGCTCAGGCTGGTCTCGAACTCCTGACCTTGAGCGATCCACCCGCCTTGGCCTCCCAGAGTGCTAGGATTACAGGCGTGAGACACCGCGCCCGGCCTAAATTATTTATTTTTTTATTTCTGCATATTATGGGGGTACAAATGTTTAGGTTACGTATGTTGCCCTTGCCCCACCCCCCCGTCAGAGCTTCAAGCATGTCCATCGCCCAGATAGTGTGCATCGCACTCATTATGTATGTATATATCCATCCCCTTCTCTCCCATCTGCCCGACGCCCGATAAATGTTATTCCTATATGTGCAGTCAGGTGTTGATCAGTGAAACCAATTTGCTGATGAGTACATGTGGTGCTTATTTTTCCATTCTTGGGATACTTCACTTAGTAGAATGGGTTCCAGCTCTACACAGGAAAATACAAGAGGTGCTAGATCACCATTGTTTGTTACAGCTGAATAGTATTCCATGGTATACATACATCACATTTTATTAATCCACTCATGTATTGATGGGCACTTGGGTTGTTTCACTGTTGACGTTTTATTTGATATTTGTATATTTAGTTTTATCATTAAGTCATGGACAATTTACCACATAAATGAAAAATGTAAACATCAGTTTTATGATTACTTTTATATTATGCTGTAAGTTAGTTCCCCATTGATATTTACTTTGTCACTTTTCACTATGATAAATGCTGTAGTAAACACGCTGTGTCATATATATTATCATTCTGCCCAGTTTCCTCTATGGAACCAATTTTTACAATTTGTGGGTTAAAGTATGTCATTACATTTCACATGTTTTTTTTGTTTAGTAGTTTTCTATTTGTTAAATAGTTTTCTATTAGACAACTTCTGATTGAACATGTTTAGATTTTTTAAATGATTAAAATAAATTATTGTATTATAATAAGAATTTACAGCTTATTCTTTTTGGTGAAGTAGTTGAATAGCCAAGTTTATTGAAGCTTTGAGTCAGTTTACCTGTAATTCTGAGTCATTAGGCTCTGCATAAAAGTTTGCAGATGCTGATAAATTTATAGGAGTTAGAATATGAGGATTTGTGGCAGCTTTTTTTTTTTTTTTTGAGACAGGGTCTTGCACTTGCTCAGGTGGTTTTAAACTTCTGGCCTCACGTAATCCTCCCGCCTTGGCTTCCCAAAGTGCTAGGATTTATGGACATGAGCTACCGTGCCCAGTATGGCAGCTATTTTTATCACCTATTAGACTTACATTTTTATTCAGTAGAGTTGAAGTTATCAAAAGTACAGATATTACTAACTTTTTCCTGACTTTAACATTCTGTGGTGATTTCACAAGACAGGGTGTGTTTTTCTGGCAAAAATCCTTGCCAGACTTGTTTGTGGTTCTTTTGCAATCATTTAAGTTTACAGTTTGACCAGGTTTGACATATGTATACACCTATGTAACTACCACCCAGATCAAGATATTGAAAATTCCCGTCTATAGGAGAGGGTTTCCTCACGCTTTTCTGCGTCATCCTCCCCTGTCTACCACTTGCCCAGGCAATCACTAATTTCTAACACCATAGATTAATTTTGCCACTTCTACATATAAATAGGATCATATATTATGTACTTGTTTTGTGTCTGGCTTCTTTCCCTCAACAATGTCTGCCAGTTATATTTCATGTATTGACAGTTATTTTTACTGCTGAGTAATAGTCCATTGTGGATATGCCACACTTTATCCATTCATCTGTTGATTGACATTTGAGTTGTTTCCACCCTAAGTTCCTATGAATGTGAACATGTATACAAGAGTCTTTTTGTGGTGATTGTTTTTGCTTCTCTTGAGTAAATATGTAGAGGCAGAATTTTGGGGTCATAAAGTAAGTGTATATTTAACTTTATAAGAAGATGCCAAACTGTTTTCCAAAGTGGTTTTACCATTTTTCACTACCACGAGCAATGTGTGAGAATTCAAATTCCTTGCCATAATTTATTTTAGGGAATTTTCTGTTACCTTCTTTGTGCTTCATGATAGGATTTTTTTATTTTGTCAGAGTAACACTTTGGTTAGGTAGTTATGAATTTTTAAAGAGCCAAAAAACTCGTTACAGACAAACAAGACAGAAGGCTATAATCAAAACATGACATGAAAAGCAAGATTTTAGGATACTCTGGCTTTATGAGTTATCAAAAAGAAAGATAAATTTTATCATCAGACTTTCAGCAACACCTTTAATGGCTAGCCACTTAGCTAAGACCTTATTCTAACACTTCTTTCAGAGTCCCTGCTGCTGCCTGAATTGTAAAAGCTGCAATAGAAATATGTTTCTTTACTTCTGTCCAGGCCCAATGAGGGTCTGCTTTATATTCAATATCAAACATAGCGTCGTAGATCCCAGGAAATGATTCTCCAGCATATTTGTTGTGGCTACTCGGAGCAAAGATGATGTGCCTAAAAGAAAAAAAGAAAAGAAAAAAAAAAACATATGGCAAGTTCAACTAAACAGTATATATATGTGTGTGTGTGTGTGTGTGTATAAATATAAATATATAAATAAGGGCTGTCCGGAAAGTATCCATCCATGTAATACATTCTCGTATTAACAATAGCTGGATGTTATCAGACAGCACATTTTATAGGTTTTTATTTTTTGTTAGACCACATCTTATTATATTACTATGTTTTCTCCTCAAGTCCACTTTTGTTACTCCATTAGGACAATATATATATTTGATTTGAGATACTTATGCAAAGTGTAATTTTAAGCAAAGAAAGTAGCTGACAATATGCATTTGCTAAGATGTCTCAGGAATCATACCATGTTGCTAACCCATACAGTTGGAAGAAAGTAAATTCTTTCTTGTAAGTTGTTCATAGTAGTTGTGTAACTGCCTGTGAGCATCCATAAACATGGTGATAACATTTGTTTTATGAATATTTTTAATAATAAAGAAGATTGAGGGGCTAATTTATGTTGCCTTTTTTAATAGATTCAACAAGAATGACATTTGTCCCCAGTACCTTTCAGACATTAAAAAGCAATAATTTAAAGAAGTTTGTATTCCCAAAGTATCATAAACAGCAAGGATAATAAAGCCCATTCCACAAAAGTCAAACAGTTGTATATGGGTTGCCCACAAAAATATATTTAATTTCTGATTTAGAAGGAAAGTTTTACAATTGCTTTCCTACTTCACAGAAGTAGCTCAAGAGATAAAGCTACTTCTTTCCTACTTCACAGAAGTAGCTCAAGACATAAAGCTGCTTCTTGGTGGATGGGCGCGGTGGCTCACGCCTGTAATCCCAGCACTCTGGGAAGCTGAGGCGGATGAATCGCTCAAGGTCAGGAGTTCAAGACCAGCCTGAGCAAGAGCGAGACCCCCGTCTCTACTAAAAAATAGAAAGAAATGATCTGGACAACTAAAAAAATATATATATATAGAGAGAGAGAGAGAGAGAGAGAGAAAATTA